TTTTTTCTTCAGAGAGCTTGGCCAAGATTCCTCGGCGAACAAATACTTCACCTGGGAGTTTTCAAGGTCAGTTGCAACAATCGCAACAGCAGCAGCAAACAGTGGGACCGAACTCAAAGAATGATAGTACTGCCCAGGCTGCTTCAGTGCAACTTACTTCTACCAACAACATACCAGGTGTTAAAAACAGTCTGAACCCAGCTCCTGGAACTTCATCCACTACTGCCACTGTTGGGCTTCATCACCAGAATTCTAGTCGGCAAAACTTGACATCTAATGCAAACAGTCCCTTCAGAGGAAATCCTGTTCAAATGCCTTCCCCAGGTTCTTCAAATACTATGCCACAGCCCAGTCCTCACTTCCAACCACCAATGCCATCCACATCTAACAATCCACCGCAATCTTCACATGGAGCTCAAATGAATTCGGCAAATTCCCCAAATAACCCAATGCAGCTGCCCACTCTTACGGCGGATGCAGATGCAAATGATTCACAAAGCTCTGTTCAAAAAATTTTACACGACATGATGATGTCAAACCAGTTTAGTGGGGGTGGCATGACGGGCATTAGGACCATGGGCAGTGATGTGAAAAATATTAATGGAATGTTATCAAGCGACAATGCTGTTATAAGGAGCGGAGTGGCCAATGGTAATCCGGTTATAGGTGGTGGAGACTTTAGGAATACAGGCAACGGATTTGGTCATTCTGCAATGGCCAATGGAATCCAAGCTGCATTGGGTAGTAAGTCAATGAATGGAAGAGCAGGAGGCATGACAATGGCACGAGATCAAAGCGCTATTCAGCAGCAGGATCTGGGAAACCAACTACTTGGTGGTCTTGGGGCTGTTAATGGTTTTAACAACCTTCAATTCAACTGAAGACATCTCTCTGATTAGGTCAATGTTCATTTTGTGCTTATCCTTCATTGTTGGAAAATTCAAGAATTCACTGTAGTCCTTTGGAATATGAAGTGCATTATGGAAGAAAAAGGATAACTCCTCCCTTCTCCTTGCAGTTGTACTAATTCATAGGAAAGAAAATATATAACATAGTTATTCATGGTTTGAAATGTTGCATATTAAGTTTCCTCGTATTTTTCTCAACTTAAATTTACCTAGTTAGGGACAGGTGCTTACCCTTCAAGGCATGTTTGTTGTGTAGTTTGGATAGGATAAACAGACAAGATTTTAGCTTCTAGCATTGGATAATGTACAGCCTACCTTGAACAAACCATTACTGTGACTTGACTGCTGGAACCAGCTTAATACGCGCTTCGTATTACAACTTTCCTTGAGCATTTGAAAACTATTTTATGTGAAAGTTTGCCTTCACCAGCTTGCGTTGGAACTGACCGGAGTTGCCAAGAATAGATTTGACAATGAGTTCGAGTTTTTTCTGTTGTACTGGATATGTTTGCTCCGGTCACTTCATTTATAGAAATTTGCTACTCTGCCCGAATATTTTTGCTCGAATGGTTGACATCTTCTCACATGTCATTGTTCTTCGTGAATTAAAAATTACAAAAAAAAAGGGGGATTCTTGCCATTATGAGAGTGGGTCACTTCCGTTTGTCAAAAAAATTTGAATACTGTAGCGGGATTGTTATTTATATGTAGTGTAGCTATTCTTTAGTTTGTTTGCATTAAGGTTGGACATGGTTCAATTCAATGTAGGATATCGAATTGAATTCGAATTTTCGAGTATTTAATAAGTGAAATTGTCTGAATGGGTTTGATTTCATTCAGTTCGGTTATCGAGTTCCGTATTATAATTAATTTTTTTAATATTTACAACAACATTACTTTGACATGTTCAATTTTAATTCTTACAAAATGACATATTTCAATTTAAAACTATTTTACGTTAGAGTTTGCCTTCATCAGCTTACATTGGAACTTACTGGAGTTGCCAATAATCGATTCGACGAGGAGTTGGAAGAGTTAGTATGATTGTCCGTGATAAGTTCGCTCCGGTCAATTTATTTATATGTAGTGCTGCTATTCTTGATCGCAAATTACTTCCTTCTCGCTTCATATGGAAGCTTCTATTCATCAACGAACGCTAAAAGTCCTCTCTAAATAATGCTGGATTGACCCAAAAGAATGTCTGAACTTCGTAACATCCAAATGTTACGTAGCTATTTAACAAAGATTTAGACCATTCATGTTATTGAACATTAATTCTGTCAAAGATCAACTTGCTACGAAGGTATTAGGTTGGGAAACAATGGTGCAATTTCCCAGAATGAATTAAGAATATGATAGGATACCAATTTATGCTGTTCCTCATTCTTCTTTTCCAAACATAAAAGATTTTCCACAATATACTTGTCATTAATCATGATGCTAATATAATAGAAAAGGGAAACAATTAAAAGAAACATCCCCAGGCACCATATTGCTATCCATCACACATCTTGGAAACAAGTGTAGGAAAAGAACAAAACTATACCAGGGCAAGAGAAAAATTGGTGCCATCTCAAAATGAGTATTCCTTTAAATCGGCCTTCGAGTCTCCTAGTTCCATATCAGCCATGCATTCTTCTGCAGTAAGCGGAGGGAGTTGCCTTGTTTTTCTCCTTAAATTATGTTTATGCCAATCGCTCTTGAAGTGCTCTCTGTACTCTTTCGCATTGCCTATCGAAGCATTGCATGTGCTGCATTTGTTCTGCTTGGCCCCTCCCTGAGAACTCCCATTTTTAACAGAAATTCCCTGCTGCTGCAGTTTCTCACTCAGTTGCATAACAGGAATAGCAGGATCCTTGTGAACGGTGGATGGTTCATCTTCACGATCATCGTAATGATCCACCTGGGTGTCACTATCGACATGTACATTCACTGCTAGAATTTCCAATCTCCCTTGCAGATTCCTCACCAAAGCATCACAACTGCGGAAAGAACTTGGGTCCAGTTCACAAATCTGCGCCATAACAAGAAAGTTTAAGCTCCAAGGAAGGGGAAAATGGACTTGAAAAATAGTTACTAAATCAGCAGCAGTAATATCCCATTCTTAAATCAAAGTATAGTATGGGTGAAAATATATTAAAAGGAGATGATGCTGAAAAGAAGTCAAGCACCAGAAGTCATTGCTTACGTAGAGACATGTTATTCATACACACATACATTGCTGATAAACCCCGTTTGAGTGTATTTTATTTATATCTAAAGCACCTGGCCAAACGAATATGAGTAAACATATGTGTACATATGTGCAAACTGCATTTGGCGATGTCATGAAAAAGGTGAGGGAAGAGAGTTGATCCAGTATGAGTGGATGTAGACTCAACGGTCAATTAAACAGTACAGTTTGAGACTATTACTGTGGTATTCAGTATAGTTTTTATTCTGAGCACGCTTGAGTGAAGGGGGATTCCGAGTGAGATCTTGGGAAGTGTGACTAGTGGGAAGAAGGCAGATGGAGCATAGGAAGGGTATGGTCCTGGTATCAGATGGAAACAGAGGGGGTCAAGGAACCATGGAAGCTCTGGAAGATAAGAGAAAAGGAGTGGTGGAAAGCAAGTTTTAGATGGGAACACTTAGGGTGAGGTTGGTTTCCATTTTCATTTTCCATTTTCATTTTCAAAACAATTTTTAGTTTTCCCCGAAAACGGCCCGTTTTCCGCGTTTTGAACGTTTTCGACATTTATAACTGAAAACGCTGAAAATGGTAAAAAGTCGTTTTGCGTTTTCAGTCATAAATTTTAACTCGTTTTCGAAAACGACGAACCAAATGCGTTTTCCGCGTTTTCGAAAAAGGAAAACGGAAAATGCCAATCATTAATTCTTTCAAAGAGTGAGGAGGTGTTCTCTTTGGGTACAGTAAGTCGAAGCCTCATAGGGGATCGTTTGATGGGGAAGTGCTTTTGGAGCTCACGAATCACTTCTAATGCCTGTATATTATCATAACAACATCAACTATTAGCTTGTTCAAAAAGTAATTTCAACAAGTTTTAAGTCCGGAATCCCAGATGCAATTAGGTTAATTAAGCATGCGGTTCATGCCTCAAGCAACAACATGCATCAGATGTTAGTTACAAACACTTGGTCCCGATTCAGAAGAGAGTGTGTGTGTGTGTGTGTATTATTGTTAAAGTCAAGAAGCAAACTAAATTGAATTCACAGATGGGAAAATCAAGGTTAATTAAAAAATAATAATAGTAATAAATCCTAATTTCACTTCAAAATGAGAAGGAAAAAGTCATTTTTAGAAAATGGATGCTATAAGGCAGTATATCCACCTACAGATTTAGCCAGGAAAAAGAGTTTATGAAAACTATTTATACTCAATAAAACAATCTACTTTGGAAACTAAAACTTTTAAATACCATCTGAACGTACCTGTTTCTTTGAACTGCTATGTGGATCGACTGCAAAATGAATTTCATGCATAAGCCGCTCAATCATGCTTATGGTATAAGGGCGTTGTGTTTCAGGGTTGATGGTCTTCTGCATGACCATCGTAGCAATATCCCTAAACTGACTTGATAACTGTGACTCCCTTTCCTTCCCTGCAACTTGTAGCTCTCCTTCGTCCAAAATCTGTAATTGCAAATTATATGACTAACATACACTTGACTGAGCTTTCCACTTTAGAGGAGAATATATTTAAACAGATGCATGCTTCAGGTGCATCATTCATACAGATATGAAATTAATCGATTCGGAAGATGAATTGTATCCTTCAATACACAGCTCTTCAATGCCAATAAATTGATTCAGAAAGATAAACTACATCCTTTGATTCACAAAAATCATCAAGTGAGTCTTAATTTAATATGAAAAAAGGAGTCATGAAGTATAACAAAGAAATGGATTTATACTGACCTCCAAACATATTTTCTCCTGATCATCTGTCCCAAATGCCGTTAATAAATCTTTTGACTTAGCAAGAACCCCTTTCGAAACGTTTGAATAAACAGTGTGTGACTGCAACACTTCATCCAAGTCTTTCTCTCTGTTGCAAAATCTCACCAACATCATTATTTCAATTCTTACATTGAGCTTCTGATCAAACAAAATTATTGAAAACCCAAAATTTCCAAGCATTAATTGTGATATGAAATCGTTTAACTGTTAAAACATGTCATTCATTGAATAGTTAGTTATAATATCATTATTTTATTTTCCACATTTAAACAAGAAAAGGAAATAAAATCAGACGAAAATTAATCCAAATCTAAACTGGAGTCTCCAGAAGCCATATTTAAAATCAACATTTCATGACTAAATAATCTCAATCAAAATTTTTCTGCGACCCTGACTGACTTTTACTCATAAACTAGAATAAAAGTAATAACACCATAATAAAAAATAAAAAATAAATAAATTCGTTTAGAACCTCGAAGAGGTCCAAATGGATTGAACTTGAGTAGGTTGAAAAAAGACATACAACCTTGAACAGCGTTGATCACTAAAGAATTAGACACCGCATTAGTTCATGCATCCTGACAAGAATTCTCTCTCTCTAAATAAAATAGTTATATAGGAAAGAGAGAATAAAAAAAGTTCTCTGTTTTGCAATTCTATTCTTTCAAACCTAACTATTTTCCACAAACTGGTGACGAACGTATAATTTGTACAAATCTTTTCATTTTCCAAGTCCATGCGATCCATTTCGCAATCTACGGCATGTTAATCAGACACTTCAATTAAAAATAGAGCAAGTTTAACTCATAACTAGTACTGAGTCTTCCCCAATACCTAAATATTAAAATTCGGGACTAATTCACACACAGAACATGGTTAGAATAAACAATTCAAAATTAGACGTGGTTTTCCAAATTCCCAAAGGTTAAGGTCA